TGGGGCTGCTGAGAAGGTCTGGGTGAGGCTGCTCAGGGCCAACAAGGTCCATCAGTGTCCTCAGCACAAAACCACTTTCCAGGTTCCATTTGTTTGCCTTCATGGATTATGAGGAGCATTTGGGGCTTAGTTTTTCCTCTGCAGTTGCTCACATGGTCGCTCCTGTCACTGCCCTCGTGTGCTTCAGGCACAGCCACTCCTGGGTTGGGTCTCTCATGGGTTGCACTGAGAGGGCTCTTCTTCAGGCTCTTCTTCAGGCAGTGGGAGGTGTAGGAATGATCCTCCGTGGTCCTGCAGAGTGAGGGGCTCCTTCCAGCCTGATTCCCTCTTCTCCTGCCCTGCACCAGCCACGAGGCCCAGTTCTGTCCCCCCAGGGGGGGACACTCCAGCTGTGGGCTCTGTGACCACCAGCACCACCCGAGCACCTCAGCCAGAGCCTTGGAGGGCGCGTAACCAAACCTCTTCCACCCATGAGCCTGCTGCTAAAAATGTTACAAATCCTCATGCTTTTTGCCCATCAACACCAGACGAGGCTCATGGATATAAACAGGGAATTTCACAGTGCCAGACAAACGCTGCTCAACTGCCAAAACCAACTCTGAATCATTGCTTGAGCAGCAATTAAACCAGAACAATGCAGATACACGGAGCCTTCCTTTAATCATCCTCCCAAAGCCCGTGTTAATTAGCCAGGCTGCAGCAACCACAGAAATGATGAGCCTGCGTGAGAATAAAAAGTAAAACTGTATTAAAAATGCAGTAAATTATACAACACTTTTTTCCCCCTATCAAAATACTTTAAAATATTCATGCCCAGCTTTCCAGCACCTGAAGGGGGCTTACAGGAAGGCTGGAGAGGGGCTTTCCAAAGGGCACAGAGTGACAGGACAAGGGGGAATGAGCTCAAGCTGAAAGAGGGCAGGGTTAGGTGGGATATTGGGAACAAACTCTTCCCTGTGAGGCCCTGGCACAGGTCGCCCAATAATAATTCTTAATTCATCCATTTTTAGCAAACAAAGAGATTAATGTTAATTGCTTCTAAATTATATCGTTCTCTTTCCTCACTTAGCATTCTACCTTCTGTTGGTTATTAACTCCTCATTTTCCATAACAATTAGTCCATATCTTTACTCTTTTTAGCATCTCTTCCCCTCCGCTGGTGTTTTCCCAACGCAAACACTAAGCCTTTGTTCACCTTCCTCCTCATCTCCTGGTTTTTGCAAAAGGTCCTTCCAGATGCCCAACTTCCCCAATATATATTTATTCCCCAGGCTTCGTTCGCTGAAGCCCATCAAGGTCAGCTCAGCGAAACTTAAAATTTGAGTTTTGAGGGTTTGCCCGAGCTCCCGACAGCATCTCACCGCGGCTCTTTCGCTGAAAAGCGGGCCGAGAAATAACTCAAGGCCTCGCGCGGCTTATGATTAATTAAAAGGGCTAATTAGAGGGTTTAATTAAAACCATTAACAAATTAGCAAAGCGACGCGGTTTCCAGCAGAAGGGGGTTTTGGAGCCTCACGGTACCCGCAGAGGGCGCCGCGGCCCCGCCGCTGGGGCGGCTCGTGGTGGCCGGGAAGGGGAGGGGAGGGGCGGCTATCCCGGTTATCCCAGTTATCCCGGTCCTCTCCTCTCTCCTCCCCGCCCGCAGGGTGTCCCTCCACAGCCCGGAGCAGCAGCCGCAGCCCCGCAGGTCGGTCCGGCCCCGCTCGGGTCCGTGGGTTCGCCCCGCGGGTCCCCCCGCGCCTGTGCCCGCTGCCATTCCCGGCGCTTGTTCCCGTGCCCGCTGCCATTCCCGGCGCTTGTTCCCGTGCCCGCTGCCATTCCCGGCGCTTGTTCCCCCTCCGGGAGCAGGGGAGCGGCCGCGCTGCCGCCGGGACCCCCCGTTCCCGCAGGGATGGGGATCCCGGGGAGGTGATGCCCGCTGGGCTCTCCCGGTGGACAAAGGGGCTTCTTTATATTTTACTGGTTTTATTTGCTTTGTTGTTTTTTAATAAGATCATAGATACATAGAATCATAGAATCCCAGAGTGGTTTGGGTCGGAAGGGATTTTAAAGCCCGTCTCGTTCCACCCCCGTCTCGTTCCCTAGCCCAGGTTAAGATAAACCGGAATTGTTCCGTGGGAACTGGGATGGGTTTCCAGGTGGAATTTGCCCGGCCGCCGTTCAGTCAGGAGCGCGTAAAAATGCTTTTAGAGGATAGTTCAAGCCAAAATCCAACGAGCAAGTTAATACTGGGATGTGTTTGCAGGACCCCGATTCACTCCGGAGCCCAGCTCCACCTTTGCTTTCCCCCAGGAGTAATTACTGGTGGATATTGTACAACTGAGCAGCTTTTGGGGGGTTGAGCTGTTATTAACAGCGATTTAGAGCCCCTGCAGATGTGCCAGACACACCTATGTGACATCCTCACACATCACGTGCAGCGTCTGTATTTGACATCCAGGAACACACAACAGCACTGGGATGTTAGAGCAGCTGGAGAGGCACAGGAGCTGGGGCAAGGCTCCCAAATTCCAAGGAAAACTTGCTTTTCCTCATCCGCACTGTGGAGCTGTCCTTAACGAAGTGGATTTCACTTCTAAACCGGTGTCTATTTCTGTTTACTTACTCCAGTGTAAGGTGTTAAAATGGGAAAATGTCTCCAAACAAGAGTCTCGAGTTACCCACTCCGTATTCCTAAATATCCAAATATTTACCAAACCAGTTTTATTTTTAGCAGGACAAGCACTAAACCTTTGCAGAAAGCGATGATGTCAAGGTTCCAAGTTAACTGTTCCGTGAAAATAACACCTTCACTGGGACTTTTCCAAATGGTAGTAACTACTATTTCTAACAGAGAATATGAAGGCAAAGAATTATTAGAGGAACATAAATCACCTTTTAATGTCATTTTATTATTTGGGGGTTTGAACTAAATGATCTTTATTGTCCCTTCCATCCCATACCAGTCTGTGATTCTGCGATTTTCTCATCACTGACAACAATACTGCAGGAAGAAAAGAAATGTCCTGGCAGTCTCTTCATCCTCTTTTCATGTGGAATTCCTGGGTTTGCTCTTCCTGGGACAGAATATTTTACCAGGGATTTAAGAAAAACAGTAATTATTGTAATATTAAAATTATAGTGCCAGGGACTGGCAACACAAATATTCTGCTGCTTGAATGTGAAGGAACAACAACCCAAGAGCATCCGTGGGCCTGAAATGTGTGAAGTGGGTTGTGGGGGCAGGAGGCCAAAGCTCAGCTGGGAAGTGGAAGTGGCTGATTCCCACCACTTTTTAATCTGTTTGGTTTTCCAGAATAGCTGCAGGGTTTGGAGCAGAAGAGGAGCTGCAGTGCCTCGTTTGGACTCGCTGCCACCCAGTCCTGGATCTCACAACAGAACTTTTGCATGTGTGAGTCCAACTTTAGTCATGATGTTCAGTCGTGGCTTTAAAAACCACCTGAAACCTCAGTGTTTAGACACGGTTTTAAATACCATATTCCATTTTTTGGAGGTTTTCCCCATTTTAGTGAGTCTGCTCAGCTGCAGAAATGGCATAAAAAAACCTTAAAACATTACTTGCAACATTTTTTTTTAACTTTAAAAGTTATTTTCAAAGGTGGCTACAAAGTCTAATAACTTCAGCAGCATAAATAAATGCTGAATAAACTGAGTATGTCTTGCAGGCTCAGGTGACTTCTCAGAGTGTGAATATATGTTGTGTTTGTATTGTTTAATTATTTTAGGTCCAGTGATGACAGTTCTCTGGAGAGGCAGCCAGTTCCTGCAGAAAACTTGTTCCAGCCTTTAAAAAACACAAAAACCTGGAGTCTCATGAAAAGAAAAAGTTTCTCACTGACTAGCGAAGTAAGTCCTAACTTTGCAGAGGATGATGCTCTATGAAAACGAGCCTGGAAACTTTATCAAGACTTAAGAGTGGTTTGATGCATAATTGTGGTTCCAGCTTGGTTCTGCATCTGGCTTTAAACACTAAACAGCTGAACCTGCTGCTCTAGTACTTGGTTTTTTGGGTTGTTTATTTAAGCAGTGCATTTGCTCTGTAATTTTTCCCCTTAGGCTCCTCTGGATGAGGAATTATTAACCTTGAGGGGACTTAAATTATCATGAGAGCGAGTAGGATATCAGCTGGGTTTTGTCAGCAGGAAGTTTCGAGGTGTAGTACTTGAAAATTCTGCTTTTTTGTTAAAATTTTCTTCAGTTCTGTAGTGCTCAGCCTTCTAAGTAAACATTTCTCATTAATATTTCAGCAGGAACGAAAAAATATGCAGAATTATTATAATTCACTACACAAAAAGATTTTTAAAGGTCAAAGCCAACCTTCCCTTGCTTCAAAATTTCAGCTGTGTGGGACTGTTCTTTTCCATGCTGGGGGTTTTGGGGGCAGGATCACCCTACATTTGCCTTCTGCAAGCTTTTTATGCTTTCCATCTCTCCCCTGGAGTATTAAATAACAGACTGTTTGTGTTGAATCACTGGTAGGTGTGATGGGCTGAGTGGATTATAGTAGATTTTAGAGCTCACCTGGAACCTGAGTCATAAATTACTTTGTTTTCATAACATTACCTTGATACTAGTTGCATGGAAAGCAACAAAATATATAAATATTTCATGTAAATATATTTTGTAAGAGCGAGTAGAGTGTTCAGAATCTGGGCCAGTACCTTGAAAGAAAATATTGTGGCTTTATTTGCATCACATTTAAAGTGAAAATCAGAGTTTTGGTCTTAAATTCAAACAAATTCCTTGGTTTCGCTTATCCTGGAGCAGATTTGTGGCCAGTCTCATCCAACACAACCTCAGACTGAAATGCTGCAGTGATGCAGAATTGGAGTGTTGCTTGTTTATCAAGAGCTAATGAATGTGAGGGACCACGAAGTATTTTTCCTTCTTGGAAGTCCAGTTTCTGCCTGTAATCAGCAAATACGAGCGAGCATCGTGTGGGTAATGCCTCCTTCACCCTGGCTGTGTTCATGCCTTGGAATTTGGCAGGTCTGTTGGGGATGGGAGCTCCCTGGGAGCTCCTGGATGCAGAGGCCTTTCCGCAGAGGATATTCCGCGCCCGTAACCGGATTTGGGGATTTGCGCGGGATGGGAATGGAGGCAGAAATCAGCTCCTGGAACTGAATCCCTGTCCAGGAGCTGTGGCTGCCCAGCTGCACACACGGGCTCGGAGTGTCCCCAGCCGAGGACAGGAGGTTGTGCCTCGATGGAACCCCCTGGATTTGGCACCTGCTGCAGGAGCGTGTGGAGAGCCCGGGGAGTTCTGGAGCTCCTTCCCACTGTCTGCTTCCTCTTGGCTGCTCTGCCGTGAGTTCGCAGTCTTAAGCACTTCTCAAACATGAGTAATCTCGCCTGGAGCCTTTTGCAAAAGCTGCCTTTTTTTATTTTTTTGTTATTTTATCTTGGATGCGTTTCTCTGTCTGCATAATACAGATATAATATGCCAGAGAAGCATCTTGTTCGTGTTTGCAAAAATATTTGGTGGTTGACAAATGAGCTTGATGTACTGTGCTGTTGTACTGACTTGACACTAATCTCTGCCACTTAGAGCAAATGAGAATAAATCACCTCTTCCCTCTTATCTTCTGCACCCTGAGTTGTGTATGCACTTGCAGCAGAAGCTGCTCAAGGTTTTATTTCAATCCCATGCCCCGTCACCAATCCTGTCGTGCTGGCTCCTGCCATTTGAATTTGGATTGGGAAAAGGTCAGAAGCAGCACCTGAGCTGGCACTTCCATAGTGCTGAATCACTTGCTGTTTGGTCACTGGCTTCAGGTTTCACATTTGTAGGTAGGAGATGACAAAGCAAAAGGAGGAATGATCCCAGCAGGTAAAAATGCCTGAGGAAAAATAGGACTCCAAACCTGTGCCCATAAGGGGGATATAATTTACTGCACTGGTAAAAAGGGCTGTGGAAATGAGTGCAGTAAAACCACGCTTGGTGAGTTGTTGAGCTTCAGAAATGGGAGTTGAAATATTAATTGGAAAGGGGTGTTCCATTAAAACTGACATGTTAGTGAGCATGGAATTCATCCAGGCTTGTGTGATGGACTCAGGTTTGGGATTGCTCCCTCCTCCTCCTCGTGGAGCTGAGTCCCAGCTCTCCAGCTCAGAGCCTCGAGTGTAGTTGTCAACTCTGTTCATTCTAAGCCCTTCTGTGTGAAATAATAGAGTTTTTTTCTCCTTCCAGTCTTTGAAAGGCAGCAGGGGGGTGTAGTTCTAGTGTAGTTCTGGTGGCCAGAAGGTGCTGTTTCAGTGCAGGCCACCAGAAAGGAGCATATGCAAGTGTTGGGCTTGTGATTTGTGGCCTCTGTGTAGGGGTAGGACATGAGGAGCTGCAGTGACTCCGAGTTCCTCTCCAGGAGGGAGGTGGAGCATTGCTGTGATGGTTCTCCTGTGGCTGCAGTTTGATTCTTTCTTTTTTCGTGTTTTGGAAGATGAAGTTCAGACTTATTCAACCTTTTTTTTCCTTACAGTGTTTTACAATTTCTTCTGGAATTTGTTCCAGCCAAATTCACGTTTCCTGCCAGAATTGAAGAGTGGATCAAGCACCGTCCTGGGGCTTCCTGCTGGGCTGGGCTGCTGGAGATCTCACAGCTTCATAGGCTGCTATTCAACAAATCAGCTGCCAATCCAGGTAATCTGCCAATATTCCTGCTTTTCCATTTATCCTTTTCAAACTGCCTCTTTAAACTCTGGGGCAACTTAACATTGCACAGCCAAATACTGGGAGAGAAAATAGTTCTGTATTCTGCTCACTGATGTGCCATCCATAAAACAAGTCATAATTTCCCAGATATTTACATTGATACTGTTTGTCTGGCAGTGATTTGGTGTTTGTCATTCCCATTATGATTATGAAGCAACATTTCCGTGCAGTTAAGGTGTTTCAGACTATTTGTCTACTAAACAAGCAAATGTATGTTCTCTTTCAGATTGTCACTGCTGTTTTTTATGTTAACATGGATCTAATTATGATTTCACAATTTTTCTGCTATAAGCTCAAGAATCAGAAGGTGACAAAATGTAAGTTTTTTCAGTGGTTGAAATGTTCTCCAGGATGCAGCACAGTCTTTACTGACATATTTTCCTACAGCATTAAAAGACATTTTTTTCCAGAGGGATAAAAAAATGGAGTGTACAAATTCTGGTTGGAGTTGTCAGACCTGTTGCTTCCAGTTTTCCCTTTCTTCTCCCCTTCCTTTTCTTTTCTGACCCACATATACCTTTAAATATTTTCCATGTAGTACTTTCACTTTATAAAGACATAAAAAATGCAATAGATTTGTGGAATCTGGCTCCATATTTTAACTTATTCTCTGTTTTTTGTGGAAGTCTGCAGAAGTTGAAAGCAAGCCTCATTTCTTTGTGGGGTTCAGCTGGTTTCCTCCACGTTGATTGAAACCTGACTTTATTTGCTTATGGCATCAAATATCTTGACATCTTCATGTGTCCTGTTTCAATCTCTACATTTAACAAAACATATTCAAGGGGAATGAAATCACTTGAGTTGGGCTTCAGAAAACCTGGCAGTGGTTGGAGTGCTCAGCCTGCCCACGAACTACTGTTTTGACTGAAAGGGAAGACAGAAAGCTCAGTTCATATTGTATCAAATCAAAACCATTAACTCCTCAATCTGAAAAAGGAAAAAAAAAAAAAGAAAGAAAGAAAATCGGTGGTACAGCAGAGGTAACAAAAAAGCTGAAGCAAAACAGATGCCTCCCAGCAGCCTAAACAGGGATAAAGCAGATTCCTTCAATATGGAACTGATAATGAACCTGGAGATGGGTCAGTGCTGAGGGGTTTCCTTCCTGCTGCCTCCTCTGGAGAACAAACCCAGGCTTTGGTGCGTTTTAGCTGTCAGCTCAGGGGGTTGCAGAGCTGGAGAGGGAGGAATTAGGCCTTAAAAAGAGGCTTTTCAGTGCCCACTTCTGGAGCAGTCGGACACAAGTGGGTCAGTGTTGCATCTCCAAGTGCAGCCCGTGGAACTGGGTCGGTGTTATTTAGACTCCAGGTCTTTAGGCCAGGCTTAGTGAGGCCACACAGCAGTTTGTGTTGCTGGTGGCTGGGACTTGCACATACAGAGGGTCCCATGGCTCCAGATTTCTGTAGGATTTCCCACCAGTTTCAAGTTGTCTTGGAAATGTCCATTGTGTGTGGAGTCTGTCTTTGACTTTGTGAGTCTCAGTAAGGGTTGATACCAACAAACCATGGACACAGAGACTGGTCCAGCACAGCCCTTGGGTTACATAAATCCCAATGATAGAAATATAAATAAACTTACATGATCATAAGTAATGATATTTTAGTAATTTCCATTTCAAATATCCTTGCTTTTGCAGTTTTTAATCAAGACATATTGAAAGAAACTTCTGCTCAGCAGTTTTCTGTGTATCAGCTGTTATTTAATGATAAATTTTTAAGGGATAATGTAGGAGATAAGGTGAGCATGGACATTTTCTCTCTGTTCCCTCACTACCACTCAGTTGTTGCACGAAGCACAACTGTGACAGTGAGCAGGGGTGGGCACAGAGCCCAGAAAAAAAAAGAGGTGGGACCGACATTGCTGCCAAGAAAAAGAGACGTGAAATTCTACCTTTACATTTACATATTTGTACTGCAAACAGAAAGTGACCTCAAATCAACAGCAGATGTTATTTTTCCAGCTAATTTGTTTGTGTGTCATTCCAGGCAGCCACAACCTGAGGAATTTCTGCATCTCCATTTGTGGAGCTCTGGGTGTCACTGCCCTCTGTCAGCTGGGGCTGAGGAACCAGGAGCAGAGCACAGCAATCCCAAGGAATAATGTAAGTTCTTACCTGTTCCTATTCCAAAAAATTCCCACCCAAAAGTGTCTTGGAAAGTCTGTGCCCTTCAAAGAAATCTGGACTTTTTTAACAGTGATTTAGAAATCATGTATGTGGATGTTTTACCCATAAATCCCAAAATAAAGAAGTTATAAAATCGCTTCTTTGAGCGGCTTCCTGGGCTTGTTCAGTCCTTTGGGTCATCTCTGGGATAATGTGTATAAATGTTGTATTTCTGCCGGTGTGAAGTGCTGTAAACATCCACGTGGAGCCCACACAGTGCCCCCAAAAATCAATAAAAGCGGAAAATCCCCATTGTACCTGCTGCTGTCATTCCAGCAGGAAAGTTCACAGGCTATTCCAGCAGTTTGATGGCCTTCCTACTAATGCCAGGGAAATAATTGTGATCCAGCAGCATTGCCCAGCAGGGAAGCAGCTTGTTTTCAAAACACAGCCGGAGTGAGAGAACTCTTAAGCTGTGAAAAATGAGTATTTTGCTTTCTCCAGACAGGATGATGCTTTTTTTATATTTATTTTCGTAGTGGCTCGAGCTCCAGTTGTTAGTTTTGGTTTGAATTATTGTGCCTGGGGTTTTTTTTTAGGATGGATTGATATTAGTGTGATACCCCAAAGCCTGGCATTGGGTTTGATGTGCTTTGTTGTGAGATAAAGACGAAACCCTTTCCAGCCCTCGCTTGAAGAGCAGCACTGAAGGGCTTTGAGAGGACTTCTGCGCAGAGAATCAGCCCCTGGACTCTCAGTTTAATCCTCTGAAAGGCCCCAGACCATTCTTGCCAAAACACACTTTTCTTTTGCAGAACTCCCTTGGTGTGGTTGAACTGTCAGGCCTCGTTTGTGGCTCCAAATCCTGTGGGTTTTACCTGGGCAGCAGATTCCCTCAGCTCTACAAAAACCTGAGTGGATTTGGGGCTACAGGGTTTTTTTTCCTGTTCAGCAAATTTTAGGGAAATGATGGTCTTTGATTGCTGGAAGAGGATTGATTGGCAGAGGAAGAAGAAGTGGAGTATTTACAGCTGCATTTATCAGATAGAAGCAGGAACATGCTTTGTATGATTGTTGTCATGAGCAAATAACATCTCCCCTTTTCTTTCTCCAAACTATTCCCCCTTAAGTCACCAACCATGGGAATAAAAGTTAGGAATAGAGGACAGTTAGTTTAGAATTTTAGCCCCTTTTCACAAAGGTGCCATTACTGACTTCTATTTTTTCACTCTCGGTATATTTTAAAAACCCAACAAACACTTCAAAAGACCAGAAGGTTTTTCATTGCCAATTGTATACAGATTATGGAAATGGTTAATTAATTGCTGAGTTTTCTCATATTCCCTCTCTACCTTTTCCTTCACTAGAATGCCACAATATTTTCAAACAGCTCTACTAAAAAGACTGACTTCTTAACAGATTCCCTGAGAACTAGTTAGCATTTGGAAGCAGATTATCCTTGCTGTTTGCACTTCCATAAAAATGGCATTAAATGGTATTAACCAGAGTTCTAAGAACTGTAACAATCCCTGTATTTTCAGTGATTTGTGCTAAAACTACTGAACTGAGAAAATTCAGAGCCCAGGAAGAGATGGAGAAGAAAGTCTTTGGATGTGTTATATCACAAAATGCCAAAATTACCTACAACTGGTTACTGTGATACAAAGAAATGTTAAAATATGTATTTATAAAATATCTGTTTAAACAACATGTGTACAAAATTTGTGTTTAGTTCTGAAGAAGGGCCACAGAAGGCACCTTTTACCTGCTCTTTGCCTTGGCCATGATGGGAAACTGAACCTATGGGCTGAGCCTTGTCTTAAAGATGCCAAAAACCAAATCCTCCAGGGGCCTCTACTTTGTTCACCACCTTCCTTGGCTCATTGGCAGCTTTGGAGTCTTGTTTCTTGATGTTTTTGTGTCCTTTTCCTGTTACAACAGAGATTCTCAGGATTGGCTTGTTCATAAGTGGATCAGAAATGAAATGGATTTTTTTTGAAATCACATTTTTTTTTTCTGACCTGATCATAAAATCTTCTTTCTGAACAATGATTTGTATGATTTTTATAATGATAATTCTTGCTGAGAATAGCAAGTTTATCTAAAATACCTACATTACAGCTGCATTGCACAGGGTAATTTGTGTCTTGGAGACAATAGGTAGATACTGCAAGTTGGGGGGGTCCATATTGTGCTGGTTTTCTTAGGTTTGCTGTCTGCTAAATGCATAGAAACCCCCCCAAAAAACCCCAAACCTATCAAAACAACCCGTTTTTAAGTGCAAATACAGAATCACAGCTTTGAGAGTTTGGGGAAATTGTAGTTGCTGTGGTGAGACTGCGTTCATGTCAGAGACAAACAAAGAGGGTTTGGCAAATTTGGGTTCAGAAAATAGAATTTAACAAAGCAGTGCTGCAGCAGCCCTTAATTTTGCGTAATTTGGGGCAAAATTTGGGCCTCTGAAAACCAGCTCTGCTCTCTGAGTCATGAAGGGCCAACCAGCTACACGGTTCTCCAGGTCCATGTGCCCATGTCTTGAAAATCCTGGGCAAACATAACCCCCTATAACTGATATATATTTATAATTGATGTATTCATACCTGATTCCCACAGTACATTAGTTATTGTTAGCCCTGTTGTGCTCAAGAAAGGACAAGCAAAATCTTCAGTGTGACATTGTGCCTTTGCTTTAAAAGCCTTTGCACAGGGATGGTCTCACTGGGCATTATTGGTTCATAGTCACCTGTGTTGTTGCCATTGCTTGGATTTCCACTTAAAAGAGCTTAAAGAGGAGATATTTTGATTTTTCCTCAGGTAAGAACTGTAGGTTTGTGTGTGAAAACCTCTTGGTGCTTCGCTCCCTGCACTCAAACCAGGCTGAAGTGATTCCAGCAGTGCTGCAGCACACTGAGTTAATCCATTCCAGATTAAAGGGGAGTTCTTTCCCAGATTTACCTGGAGCTGCTCCAGAAGTTATGATTCCCAGGCATCAGTCTTGTCTTTCTGATTAAAGGAATTTCCTAAGCCACTGAAGCTGGATGAGTGACTGGAGAGCCAGAGCTGGCCTTGGGATGCTCCATGGCATTCCAGCCTCATTCCAAGTCCAGGGCTCTGTGCATTGTTTAAAACATTCTGCACAAATACCCCACCACACTGGGGAGCCTGAACTGGGGTTCCTGCCCTGTTCTGAAACAAAGTGTGGTTTTATTTTGTATGGGACAGTCCAGTTTCCTCTGCGAGCAGACTGTGGGGATTCAGGAGTTCATTCCACAAACAAAGTAGTGACTTTCTTCTGCCCCAGCCCCCAGCTGGAAACATAAACCTGTATTTATTTACCCAAAAACCTCCTAGAACTCGATCTTGATGACCCTCACAGTACATTCTGTACGTATTTGCAGCTGCCTTTCTGTGGTGTGCTCTGAAAATCAACTTTATATTGGCCCCAAGGCTCCCCCCTCTCCATTCCTTGCCCTGGGATTGCAGTGCCAGCCTGCACATGACATTAATTCCTGGGTTCTCTCTTGATTGGGGTCTGAATCCAATCTTGCTAATAGTCCTCCAGTTCAAATTATATGGAAAACAGATGCTCCCAAATCAGGGTGAGGAGCTTGCAGGAATCTAGTGGAGCACATAGTGTTAGTTGGGAATGGATGAAGGATTTGTAATCAAGAGAAAACAAAAGCAGACCTCCTGCTTCGAGAAGCCCTGAAGGTAAGGAAGGCAGTGCTTTTAGAAGGAGCTTCATTACTGTCTCTTGCCAAGCAAGAAAATGAAAATCCGACATTTATACATCACTTTAGTCCAGAAACCAAAGAATGGGGTCACCTGGGCTTTGGAAAACAGAGGAATTAACCCAAAAAAGTCCTAATTTCTAAGAGAGAAACATTTCATAATTGGTATTTGTGTACCAGTCTCTGTTTTGAGGAGTAGTCGCAGAAACTGCCTAATTCTAGTGGACTTTATTCCTGATTGTGTCCAGAGTTTCATTAGGTGGAAAATAAACTCTCATTTCTCAAGGTCCAGGGCAGGATTAGGAGTTCACTCACTCTGTGTCTGCTGCTGTTCCTTGGCTTCCAGCTGCCAGGGCTGGCAGTGACTAATTCTAGGAACAAATGGGCTCCTGCTCCCAGCTGGAACAGCAGCTCCAGAGCAGGATTCCCCTGGAGTCTGGGTTTGACAGGGTGACATTCTCATCCCATCCTTTGGTGGCTGCAGTTATTTGATTGCACAATAAGCCAGTGATTTCCATAAATAATGCAAGTGCCCAATTGTTTGTAAAGTAGGAGCTGTCCTCCTTTTCATTCTAAGAGGAGTTTCATGGCATTACACACTGGAATTATAAATTAGACGCATTTTCTTTTCCAGTAAATGTTTCCTTCCCCTTTGCAGCAGGAGGTGGTTGAAGTTTCTCAAGATCCTGAGGAGCTCAGGGTTTAAAAGGGTCTTGTCAGAGATGCTTAATCCAGGTTTGGATCCTATTAGAGCTTTATTTTCTGTGCATGGTTATTTAATGTTCCCCTTGCACACAAGGATGCAATACTACGCATTTTAAAATATTAAATCAGTCAGGGAGCAGTTCTGCCCTTGGTTTTGTAGCAACCATCACTGAAGTTTTCTAAAAGACTGAATCTAATGCAAGTTTTTCTGGAAAACTTCCTCTTTTCCTCTCCATCTCCTGCCCTGTGTCCTTCCTCCCCTGCTCCCTCCAAACCCAAACAACTCTGCTTTGTGTTTAGACAGACAAAGCCCTTCACCAAGATTTTTTTTTGGCTTGTTTTCTTTCCTTTGCCATCAGCCATTGTCAGGGCTGTGTTCAGCTCCTCCTCGTGGGCTCCTTTCATTAAGCATAGTCAGGTTGCTACTCAATAGCCCAAGTTTATTCAGCAGGAGTCTGTACACAAAATTCTCCTGCACCTTTGGAATCCTTTATGTCCTTCCACAAAACACCACGCTTTGGAATTTAATTGTTGTGCTAAAAATGTAACAATTCAGCCAGGAGAGCTTCCCAGCCAAACACACAACTTCTCTGCGCTCCTGCAAACGCTTGGTTTTGTCCTAAGTTTTTAAAAACTCAGTTTTTGAAATCCATCTCGGTTCTCAAATTGTCCTTAAATAGCTTAATTTCGTGGAACAAATTGGATATGTAGCTCTGTGGCTGTCAGGAAGTTTACTGTGGAACTTTACTTTGGTTGTCTCCTCCACTTTGGGCTGCTCAGATCTTAAAGTTTCCCCCAGAAAGTCAGGCTTAAGCAACAAGTTAGTTCCTGTATTAAGTATTCTTGGCAGTTCAGCATTTTTTAAAAAATAGAAGCAGCTGAGGGCATTTGCTCCAAAAACATGTTCTAGAAATGCTCTTTTATAAGCTCCATATAACTTGTGTTTGTCATTTATTCACCATAAAAGCTTGGTGGCCAAGAGTGATGCCCAGTGCTACTCCACAGCCCTTTAAACCTAATTCCATGCAAATCCTCGTGTTGGAGACTCCCTGCTCGACCTCATCCATAACCTCTACCAGAAAACAAAGTGATTTGTTTCAAGTTCAAAACTCAAATATAAAAGTCCTCAGTTATCCAGCAAAACTTTCTGAAGAATTCTGATTTTTTTTTTAAATTTTATTTAAAGGCTGGCTGTGTTCCTGCTCAATAATTTTACTTGAGAGCTGGGACCATCAGGAAAAAGGACAAGTACATACTTGTTAATTCTTTTTAGATCAGCACTGTTTCCAAGGGTCTGGTTTACAATGGGAATAAATAATTATGTCTAATTGCACAATTCCTGTTGAAAACAGTGTTAAATGTTGAGTCATTTGTTGTCTGGGTGTCAGTGCCTGGAAATTTAACTGCCTAGATTTTTACAGGAGATGAGAGTTGTGTTTTCTGCTCAGGCTCTGCTGATCTATTGCCAAGAAGAGTTTTTTTAATAACTTTTTAATAACTTCTCCTCCTTACCAACCTCGACCCACCCCACTGCATTTGGGGCACCGATGCTGGAATGGTGCAGGGCAACATGTTTTATTCCACATTTTTCCTAGATTAACCTTTTTCCTATCCTTCTCCTCTTGAATTTCACACTTAGGACCCTTGCAAGCACAAGGCTGAGGTGGAAAGGATATTTTCCTGGATATTTGAGCCATATGCCCAAGGGGATCTGAAGCTTGGAGGTAGAATTTTTCTTTATTTTTCCCTTTTCTAGTGTTGTAGATAAAAAGAAGCACTGAAAACGAGCCTTGAGTAGGGTTTGGAAAAGGTTGTGTAGTAAATTCCACAGGTTGCAGTTGCTTGGGGACCAAATTTATTTCTTATTTTTTCGTTATTTATTTTGCCATTCGTTTCTCACGAAGAACACACCAATAAGATTTAACATTCACTTTGTTGTTTCCAAATAGATACAGATACGATTTTTATCCTGACTTGTCCCCTGCTTTTAGCTGCAGCAGGGAGTCCCAGCAATGGAAATATTTCTTTGGCATGGATACAGTGCATGGTGTGGGATGACTGTTTATTTTCAGATGAACACACACATCTCGTGGCACAGCTGGTTTAAAAACGATGGAGGGAATTGTCCCTGTGCCTTGAACCCAGCCCGGAGCTGCAGCTCAGTCCAGGTGTGTTGCATGGTAAGATTTGGCTTTGTTCTGTTCACACTCCCTGTTTGATACATCAGCAGACACCCTGTAATTAATTAACTCCACTGCAGAGGGTCTGTTATGGATCCTGGTGGGAGCCTCGTGTCCAGCTCTTACTAATATCACTCTGAATTATTATTGAACTCTTATTTTTAAGAGTTGAAGCATTTCTACACCAATTCCTGGCTGTTCCAAGGGTTATAATTACTGCATAATTATAATTATTATTATTATTATTATCTTCATTAGTCCATATAATGTTTTCTACATGTGTTGTCTTGGTGACTCCTGGGTTACATAAACACCACTAAGAAAAAAAACCCCTTGAATTGCAGATTTTTTTTTTGCAATACTGTGTTGTGTTGGAAGAAAAC